TACGATAGAGTATGGAGACGATATATTGTAAACAAATTATTGGAATGGGGTATAAAGGGAAGGATGGTCAGGTATATAGAAAATTTCCTACAAAAAAGAGTTTTCCAAGTCAAAATTGAAGACCAGCTATCAACCACCTTCATCCAAGGAAATGGGGTATCCCAAGGATCAGTTTTAAGCCCAAATATTTTTACAATAGCAATCAACGATATTGTAAAGAATGTCCACAAACCAGCAATTTGTACGTTGTTTGCAGATGACTTCACAATAATCATCAGAAGCTAATATATAAAATTCATAGAATGGAAAATAAAAAACATCTTAAAATCAATAGAGCAATGGACTAAAACTACAGGTTTCAATTTTTCAACGCCCAAAACCAAGTGTATCCATTTCTGCCGGAAAAGATACTGTTCTGATAATCCATCACTATCACTGAAAGGAGAAATTTTACCATTCGTAGAAAGTGTTCGTTTTCTTGGGATGTGGTTAGACAGACAGCTGAGATGGACAGTGCATTTACGTAATTTGAAAACAGATTGCTTAAAACTAATAAATATACTCAGAGCTGTTTTTGGAATGAACTGGGGAGCCGACAGAAAGACACTATTTATTCTGTATCGAACTTTAATAAGAAGTAAAATAGACTATGGAAGTATTGTATATAATTCAGCCTCTGAGAGAGCACTCAAAATACTCGACACCGTCCACAACACTGCAATAAGATTATGCACCGGGGCGTTTAGATCCTCTCTCGTTGAAAGCCTATACGTTGAAAGTGGAGAACCGAGCTTAGCTTTAAGAAGAGACTATCTTACTCTAGTTTACGCCTTCGTAAAAAGGCGCTTTCGTAAAAAACGACCTCATCTATAATTTCTAAACCGGACCACCCTAACCATAGTTTGTTTACCAGCATCAACACCAACCAAGTGTACTACTCAACTGGCATTACGGAGAGAACCCACAAACTACTTATACAATTAGACTTCAGACTGGACAATATAATGACAATAGACGACGCTTTATTCTACCAATGGAATAACTCTTTCATAAAAACAGATACGTCTCTAGCTAAGAAAATAAAAATCTGACGCCGACCAATTCGTCAAAAAACACCTTTTTACAGAAATGAAACCCAAATACCTCGGACACACAACCCTTTATACAGATAGGTCAAAAACAGATACTGACGTAGGATGTGCAGAAATACTGAAAGACCAGTGCCTCAAATTCAATTTGCCCCAAATAAACAGCGTCTTCACAGGCGAACTATTCGCCATATATCAGGCTTTGTTATTACTAACAGGAAAAAACATAAAAAATGGCCTTATAGTTACAGACTCTTTAAGCTCATTAATGGCCATTGCCGAAGGGAAAGCCGACAATGCCATTTCCAGGAAAATCAAAAACTGCCTCTGGGAAATGAAGGAGTCGTCGGACAGAGACATCGTCCTCGCATGGGCACCCTCACATTGTGCCATACCTGGGAACGAAGCTGCAGACAGAGCTGCGAATCTGGCAAGAAGAAAAATTAATGGAACCACAATGATCAATTTAACGACCACTGCTGACTGGAGATTGGAATGCAAAAAAATCCTAAATGAAAAATGGCAATTCAAGTGGAACCAATCTACGAATAAATTGCAAGGAATCAAAAAAAGATACCAAACCGTGGACGACCTCTTTCAGAAAGAACAGGAAAGAAAAAACAATTTTAACTCGGCTTAGAATTGGACATGCAGCCTTTATCCATGGCTACCTAATGAGAGGCCTGGAACCACCATTTTGTAAAACATGCAACACATCACTTACACTGAAACACATTTTAACAACTTGCAGACTATACTCTGACACCAGAACATAACATAATATACATTCCAACATATCTGAATCACTTTCAGATGACGAAGAAAAGATACAAAAAGTGTTTGAATTTATAAAAGACATTAAATTTGTACACTTAATTTGATTACATCTAAAGCCGCTAATGACCCGATCGGGTAGATGCGTAATGTAAAAAAAATAAATAAATAAAAAAGTCCGGCTGCTATAAGGTTGCAGCCCTACCACTGGACTCGGATGCTTTAGGCCAATCACCTAGTCACCTTAAAGAATCAGATTACGAAACCTCAAGACGAACAAAGAAAAGCTGGATTGTCTAAACGGTTACGACTTGGAAAATGTTTACTGGCTAACGAAATTAAAACTTTATTTCATTGCCACAAGCCATTTTCATCCCATGTATCGGTGCATCCGACTATTCACCAATGCATTAATTATTTTCTTTAAATTTCATTTCATTTTAATTAATATTTTTGCTAAAATTTATTTTTTTTAATCTACTTTAATTGTTTGTTTATTAATAACAACTCTGTTAAAATATTTAAAATTATTCCTTCCGTTTTCGGATCTAATAAGCGCCGGCACACCTGACACTTTGAAACCCGCAAAACAGCTTGTAATTGCAAGATAGTATCTACATTAATTTGAAGGGGTCAGTGCTCTCAAATTCATGCATAGGTTTCTATTATAATTAAATAAAACTGAAATGAATTAGTTTTTATCAAAATAAAAAGAGTGTTTTTTACATTTGTATTTTTTGAAGTGATAACTTCTTTACTGGAGACTTTTTTCTTTAGTGCAATTTTTTTGTGGAGAGTGAATTAGATTATCCGAATTAGAGCCGTCAGATATCCGATATGTAATGCTCGGGTAAAATCGGTACAAGTTGACTAATTTAAGTTTTTTTTTTTTCTCCATCACGCCGATCAAGCCACTGCCTGTACTCCTACCGACAGCAAACCCGCTAATTGTCATTGCTTATGACAGATATGGGTGAAGAAATAAAGTTTAAAAAAAATAGTTTTTTGCATGTGGATTATAATATCTCAGAAACTAAAATTCGGCGCTGCATATCGTAAACGAGATAATTTTTCAGCATTTCATCCTATCTGTAATGGGCTATTATTCAAAATTGTATGTTAACGCGAAGCTAGGGAGGCTAAAAGGATTAAATAATGTCAAAAACCAAATGATAACGAGTTTTATGGATTAAAATGTCTCTGAAACTACAAAGAAAAAAGAAACTTGTATACTGTAAGCAAGGAAAATGTTTATCCTCTTTCTAATGAGCTATTGTTTATTTATTATATACTAGTAGGCCCGTGCGAAAAATTCGCACAGCATATTGTTATCAAATGCCAAATTAATAAGAAAATAAAATAATGTAACGTATCAAAAGTTAACGAATCAATTGTTACTTTATCGCGAAATATAATCGACAAAGGAAAGAAAATTAATTTATGTCTTAATTTTTGTTTGGAACCAACATAGTTACAAATTACAATAAGCTATATCTTTGCGAAAAATTGACCGATTTCAATGATTTTTTTTCTTTTATATACAATTTAGTAATGTTTTATATAATCATGGGAATAACCAAGAGAAAGTGTGTAATTTTTTAGTTATTCGCAAATAAAGTTTCTTTTCTTTCATAACTTGTTTGCCTGAATTTTCGGGTTGATTGGACTATTTTGCCGGCCTGAAGGAGAAGGAAGCCTTCGAAATTGGTGGCTCAATCTTGAGATTTGGTGAAGAATTAACGATAATATCGCTTGCCGATCAAAAACACCATCGGTAAATAATATAAACTCCTGTCTCGATCATAGAGACCTCAAGTCGACGAAATGAGACATGTATCCAATGCCAGTAACACAATTAACGTCAGGTTGTGTGGATACGAATCCCATGCTTTGCATTATCTCGAAAATAGTAGGTTTTTGATCTTAAAAATGCAGGATCCGATAGTTCCAGTGGAACTATCAGGGTCTTGCTGTACGCATCAAAATCTTCAAGATCCAATTTGTCCCGCATCGATCTACAGACCTACCGCCGTTCCAGTATTGAAACCTTGCAAAATGTTTGTATTGACTTTATTTATTTTAGAAAGAAAAACAAAAGCGGAGAATACGATTCGCTAACTCCCCGTGAAATTCTGAATCCACCGGTACCCCATTCATTTGAGCATGACAGGAGCTTATATTTGGTACAAAACTGATTTCGAGCCTTACTGTAATAATATATGTGGGGATGGGGATGGGGATAACTACTTTATGTAAGCTATTATAAAAAACATTCATATTTAATAATCTAACATATGTCTATTATATGCCATAGGTCACCAATCACATTTAACTATAAGAAATTAAAAAAAAAAAAAAAAAAAAAAAATATGGTAATATGGTATTCCAATTTATTGTATAAAATGAGAGTTTTTCCTGACAATACTGGAGTCACTCTGGATTGAAACTGTGTAAGTCTCCATTGTCTTACTCCCATATTAAAATGGGCTGTTTCTCTCCACCCGTACACGAAAGCCTTGTAGTATGGGTAGTTATTGCATCAATAAGTAGAGGTGAATATTCTTCCTTGAGGCTGAAGAAATCTGTAAAAGTTAGTCAACTGTAAAACAAAAATGTTCAAATAATGCCTGTCAATAAAGTCAATATGTCTTGATAATAACTTGTTTGCAGAAAGAATATAATTATTTTGATTTATTGTATTTTTATGAAACTATCTGTCAATATTGTACATTTATATCATTTGTATTTGTATTTGAATGAGTAATTATGTGGTGAGTGAAAACCATGAGCTAATAATAAATTAAAACGTTATAACAACAATTGTTGCTGTATGCATCATTATTTATTATTTTTTATTTTAAGATAATCTTAGAAAAAGAGGGACTAGATGTTTATAATTTATTTTTAGATTCATGTTTTTTTTTTAAGAACTGGCTACAGGTGATTATTACCTTCTACAGTGAATTATCAACAGCATACGCAATAAAAAGAACAATTTTGCCAACAAAAAAATCGTCACTCAAAATATTAGAATACTCGGAAACATTTCTTTTTATTTTTTCATTAAAATTAAACTTGATTAAATAATAGTAATTTTCTGAGAATCCATTTTTCATAACACTTTGTTGTTTTTTTACAGCACATTTACAAACAAGATGGGTGAGTTTGGTTGGATCGATTACACAGTTTTTGGAGCATTGTTGGTAGTGAGTGCTGGTATTGGAGTTGGCACATGTAAGGATCAGAGCAAGTCTGCAAATCAGTTTCTCACTGCAGGAGGAAAAATGGGTTGCATTCCTGTAGCTCTTTCAATGCTTGCAAGGTGAATATGATCTTTTATTTTGTTCTAATTGGAGCAGTAGTAGTGACTATTTTAATCAACAAATATAGTCCAGGATAGAGGATTTATGATTTTTGAGATTCATGTCTCAAAAATCAAAGAATTAAAAAATCACTTCAATAATTTCTGTCAGAGAGCTAATAGTTATTATTACTAATATTTTTTTTTTCCAATAATTTACAAAATTTATCCCCTGTTTCCCTACTCTGTTTCCTCCAATGGCAAGACAATTTGTGATTGTAAAAACAATGTAAAGCATTATGATATTGGAGAATGCAATCATCATTTATCAGTTAATAGAAGTCAATAGAGAATTATATACTAATTTTGGATCCAGATTGAACTATTTTTAGTTTTTATAATGTAATAATTTTTATAGTTAAAAAACAGGCAACACCTTAGTAAATTCTCTCTCTAATTTTGCTTGGTTTTTATTTTCAGTTTTTTATCATCAATAACATTGATTGGTCAACCAGCTGAGGTGTATTTATATGGCGGTCAACAATGGCTATTTGGAATGGCTACTTTTTTCATCATACCAATAGTTGGCTATATTATTGTTCCCTTCTTCAGGGGCAAAAACTACTGTTCAGCATATCAGGTATCCTTACTAATAACAATTATCACTTATATTTCATTTTTTTCAGATTGTGTAAAACCTCACAATGATTTCAAAAAATTGCCTACTCATATTTCTTATTTCTTCAATATTTTTTAAACATTTTGAGCTTCGAATTTATAAAACAAAGACTATTCACTTATTTAAAATCACATTGATTTTTACATAGAGATTCAGAGTTGATCTTTGGAGTTCAACTACAGCATTTTTAATTCCAACATACCTAATAATTAAAATCCATAAGAACTTCAATGGCTCTTATTATTTCTTGAATTAAATGATCTACAATAATATTAATATTCCAACATAGCTGATTTGGCAGAAAGTAAATATCTATCCCTCTATTAAAAATTCCATATCCACTCAGCCTTATCTTCTAATCTAACTTCCCATTTGAATTCCTAGACATCTTAATAGAAAACGGCTTCAGAGCCTTCTAATTACAATTACCTACATTTAAATATGATTTAATTTAATAAAGTATCTTCATTGTCTTAGCTTTCTCAGATAAAAATCAATATGATATATGTTGAAGGATTTTTCCTAAAAAAATTAGCTAAATACAAGTAATGGTGTACCAGAAAACAGAGAGTAAAGGAAAGTAGTTCTCACAAATAATATTTATTAAAATGAAGACATGAAATTTGTTATATTTAATATCTAATTAATTTGTATAAAAAATACTCTATTTTAACTTTAAATTAGAGATTTAATGCACCAAAATTAATACTTTTTGTTTATTTATGAAACTATTATATTTGTTTACTGATTTGAAAATAGTTCAAGACGATTCTATATAAATTATTTATTTCAGTACTTTGGAGAGAGATTTGACAGAAGACTACAAACATTGGCATCGATTCTTTTTACATTTCAAATGGTACATGTTTCATTTTTTTTTTTAAACTTGACTCATTTTATATCCAATATACTAAAGTTCTTTTTTTAAATTAGATTGTTTACCTTGCTCTGGTCTTATATGCTCCTGCATTAGCGATGAATCAAGGTACTTATAAATAGTTTTAAGAATTTTTTTAAATACATTCATATAATTCAGGTTTGGAATTGTACAAGCCACTCTTCTAGAGAAATATTATCAATGTTTTTTCCCCTTTTATAGTGACAGGACTCAATACAATGTTGGTTGTTTCAATCATGTACGGTGTGTGCATCTTCTACACCACTATAGTAAGTTATTTATTGGATTTTGCAGTATAATATAATAGCTTTAGTTCACATTTTTCTGTGCATAGGTGTCAGTAAAAATAATATGCAGTTTGAATCTAGCTGTTGGCCTTATGTATTTATTTGGTGTGAATAAACTCTTATTTCTCTATTACACTATTACCAATATCCTTATTCGTGACTCGGTTTTTACTCATCCATTTAGTAAATATAAAAAATTCAATTTATATTTAGAATCTAAAAAATATAAAAAAATTAATGAAAACCTTCAATTAACAAAATTTAATTATTGTTAATATTTAACTATAAGAAATTTTAACAAATATTTTTAGGGAGGGATGAGAGGAGTGGTTTGGATAGATTCGTTTCAAATAATAGTGCTTTTCGTTGCCATGTTTGCTGTGCTTCTAAAAGGGACTATTGACATAGGAGGAGTATCTGTAATTTGGGAAAGGAGCAAAGAATTTAATCGAACAAATTTTTTCAAGTGAGTATTTTTTTTTACTTTTATTTTTTATTTATTTATTTTTTAGTGGGTTTAAATCCATACATTCTATACCACTGTAATGATTTCTGTCTCATGATATAGATTGTATAACTCCCAATTTTTTTCTCCACCTTCATTCATTGTTTTCATACACATTACGGTAAATTGGAGGAATGATAAATTTTGTTCATCTGGTTGCCAAATTGTTTAAATGTTTTTTCTGAAGTCCAAAATAGAAGTGATTGGCAACTGATATTTTCCTCCTCATCTCTATTGTAACTATTACCATAGATTCCGCATAGATATACTGTGAGACTTGCTCAAACTTGTGGTGCCCAAAAGGAACATTGTATCTATCAATATCGGAGTTTTATCATTAAACCATTGCTTATAGCTTCATTGACAATAAGCCCTATGCCTCTTGCAGCATCTCCTCATGCAAGGAATGCCTCGATTACTGCTTGCTTGGATATCCCAGTAATACTTCACCCCATGAGATTATCAGTTTTAATAATAAATCATTCATTTAATAATGAAATAAAATCGAAATTTTCATTAAATCTAAAAAATACATAATTGTTTTAAATTAATATTTTTTTATTGTTTTATTTTAAAATTCTTCGATGAATTATTTTCCTTTCATATCTAGTTTACCAAACTCTACTATATCTAAATATTTGTTAGCAAATGGGATTTTAACGTATCATTTTTTGAAAAGTGTTAATCTCAATGAAAAAGGAAAAATGACTATCTAATGTAGTGACATAGGCTCCTGGGCATAATTGGGTTTTATTTGTTTTTCAAACCTTAAAGCACTAGATAGTTCCATAGGAGAATATTTTACCTGAAAGAAAACTGGGTACTTTTAATCTCTCCAAACTTCAGCAACATTTATACAGTTTAAGCCAAACAGTCAAAATTACAGTGCACCACTGCACTCTTTACAAATAGTTTTATTTAAAAAAAAGAAAACATAGATTTATGAGGAGATAGTTGTAAATTTTGTAAATTTAAACTATAAATCTTTTATTGGGTAATTGTCTGTTTGAATTTCAGCTTCAGCTTTGATATGACTGAGAGATATACGTTTTGGTCCTCATTTGTCGGTTCTGGATTTCTGCATATGTCAATATACGGAGGAAATCAGTTGCAAATTCAGAGATTTCTTACTGTTTCATCTGTAAAAGAAGCAAGAAAGTAAGCTTACACTTTTTTCATCACTATATATATATATATATAAAATATTAAAAACTGATGGCTGATAAAGTTATAGATAAAATTGTAGTTAGGTTTTAAAATCTTTATTACAGAATGTTATGGTTGAACACTATTGGATGGACTTTAGTTGTCTTCATGTGTGTCTATGCAGGGTTGTTGATTTTTGCTTCTTACTGCTATTGTGATCCTTTGTTAACCAATGTAAGTGCAGAGACAATATTTTGTGGACTTAATGTTACTAAATCAAATTTCTTCAATATAATTGAATGAAAAACAAAAATTTATTTCAGAGAATCAGCACACCAGATCAATTATTTCCTCTATATGTTATGGAAACACTAAAAATTTATCCTGGATTTCCAGGGCTTTTCTTATGCGGTATATTTAGCGCTGGTCTCAGGTATTTTTAGAACAATTGAAATTATCAATCAATGAGTACCATACTGGTAAACTATTGTTCACTAATGATTTTACATTTTTATATTTTCAGTACTGTATCTACTGGTGTTAATTCCTTAGCAGCTATTTGGTTTGCTGAGCTCGATGGAACAGAATTCAAGAAGAATCTCTCAGAATCTAAGTCAGGTTTAGTAGTGAAGTTAATGGCCCTTGGTTTTGGCATTCTTTCCTACATCACAGTCTTTGCTGTTCCATATATGGGTGGCTTAGTAGAGGTAAGTTATTAAATGTTTAAAGAAATAAATGGTCTTATATCGAAGGTTGAGATATTCATTTTCATAAATTTATTATAAACGAATTTTGATCATGTTTTTTTTTTAATAATTCCACTAAAACATTTTTATTATTTCTGTAACAATGTAATATAATTATAATTTTAAAAGTTAATCAAATTCAACATTGAAAATATAGATTCCATTTTTGAAAAACAAATATTGGTAATTGTCCATTTTTCATACAAATTAGTTGTAGTCATTGAATTATTTATTAACTCATTTATGAAATGTAAAACCATCCTTAAAAAATATGCTCAAATTTACTAGAAAATTGTAAATATAGTTTTATCACAAAAAATGGACTAATTATCATTACTATCAATTGACTAAAGACGATTTTTCATTCCTTGATGTTTGTATGAGAGTTTCTTCAATTTTGATTCATAATTTAGAGAACCCACATACTATTTCACACAAGATATTCCATGGGCTTAGATAATTTTATCATTATACAAAATAACTGACAACTATATATTGAACAATCTTTATCAAATGTCAACTTTTGGAGTCCAACCTTAAGTTAAACTTAAACGATCCAAACTTAGGTTGCTTCTAGTTTGGATTAAAAACATTGAACTAAAAAGAATTTGAAAAAGATACGAGGCTTAAAAAAAAAAAAAACAACTTAATTTCTCTAATACTGTAAAGCATGATTGGACTAAATTATTTTTCCATTTATTTCAATGATACACTTTTAACTATTTTTTTTCTCTCTTTTCAGCTTGGAGTTTCTTTAACAAGCACACTGACAGGATCTTTGTTAGGCATTTTTCTCCTAGGAATACGTTTCCCAAAAGCTAATGCCATGGTTGGTATACCTATCTATTATTGCTATTATTAAAAATTTTTATCGGATTAAATGCATTAGTTTTAGAATTTAATATTTATGAATGATAACATCTGATATAATGTTAATGTGAAGATTACACATTAAAAATAGGTGAATAAATAAAATGGATTTAGTTAGATTTCTTAAATATATTTTTTTGAGTGAATTTATTAATTTAAACTTCTTTGATAGAGATTTCATGTAGATATTTAGTGATACATTAATCTATAAGCAATATGAGCAAGTAGGAGACATAAAAAAACATGTAGAGAAAAGATATAAACAACAGAGGTTGACTCTAAGAGCCAGTTCGCCTTAGATGGTTAGTAGGTTGAAATTGAATTGCACTATTCACACGCATGGGAGATCAATTAGGGGTGAATTCAAGGGGCCAGATTGGTAATTTAAAAATTAACACAGTTAAAAAACTTATTATATGTTGTATTTTGTTTTTTAATTTTGTAAGCACAATTTAGTAGTAAGTTTCATTATTATATTGTCTTAATCAAAATATCGATCTTATTGATAACATTTTACAAAATCATGAAATATTAAACGCCTCTGTGTAAACAGGTCAGGGAGGCATGTGCTTTTTACACTTAAAATAAAATAAATTAAACATCGACAATAGTTCATTTAAAATTGGTAATGGTTGTGGAGAACTCATATGAAAGTTGGTTTGCCCAATTTTTCAAACTGAAACTGGAGTTCATCTTAAGCTATTAGTGTTAAAATATTTTTTAGCAACAATATTATCCATAATAAAAATTTGATAATATTTCTGCTTCCCTTCCTCCAAAAAATATTGAAGTATAGTATGTTTAAAATGTCACCTTAGACCAGGCAACTATATTCTACTTATTTAGTTATTAAATATCCTAATCAATTCTAACAGGAATATTCAGCCATGAGTTTGAATGAACTTGCTACTTGGTGATTTCTGTGAAATTATTACATTAATAGCAAGCCCAAACATCAACAACTCTTCAAAGTTCATTTTAAAGGTGAAACAACCTGTGAATATCTTCAAAATTAAAAAAAAAAAATCAATATATTCCTAGACAGGTTTAATAATATCTACAATAGAGAAATGAATAAAGAATAAATCTAAAAGTATTAACAATTATTAAATTATTATTTTAAGGGAGCAACTGTTGGATTGGTCGTAAGCGTGGTTTTTTTGAGTTGGATTGCTCTCGGAGAATCTTATTCAAGAAGTTTGGGGTTGAAAGTACACCCACCACTTCCAAGTTCAGTGAGGGATTGTGCAGAGCCTGTCCATATTAATCCGTAAGTATATAAACAAACATAGTCAGATAATATTGAATCTAAGATTATTACTAGCTCTAATCAATTATTGTAATATATAAGTTGTGGATGTGAAATCAGTTATACAAATTTATTATTATAATATTATAAATATATTTAATAGCTTATACATTACAGACTATAAGTAAGTGATTTCATAGATTATAAATGGGATAAACAAATCAACAACCACTGATTCCAAATATTAAATTATTGCATTATTTTTTATTTAGATATTTCAGTCATTCTTATAACTTTTTATGAAATTTCAGAGTGGAAAACCAAGAAGAAGCCTTCGTTCTGTACAGGATCTCTTACACTTGGTACTGTATGTTTGCAGTGTTTATTACACTTATACTAGGAAATGTTGTGAGCTACATCTATGCTGCTATTAAGAAACCTGAAGAAGAAGTTAAACCAAACCAAGAAATTAATGCATCAAATCTTTTACTCAATGAGAGAGAACTAAAACCAGTAGTTTGGGCAAAAGTATAATGTGAAACATAATGATAATAGCTACATTATAACATGTAGTATAGAGATTTTGTTTGTTGATTGTTATTATTAATTTCTTTAAACTACAAAATAGAAAATGGTTTTCCATTAAGTATTTAGCTAAGATTTACGAAGCTAAAAAAAAAAAAATGTTACTTTTTATAAGAGCTTAAATTTTTATAAAACTGTTTGCATCAGTATTGTTTTTTATGAATGACGCATTTTAGAAGTCTCATAAGGTAATTTAAATACCATTAGAATAAGTTTTAAGAGAATTGTTGTTAATTGCTTAAGCTTGCCTGTGTATGAATGTAGATTTATTATCTACAGTTTTAACCTGGCTCTTGTTGAATTATAAACAAAAGACTGTAGATAGTACTATAGTTGAACAATAGTATGTAGTAGTCAAGATTGTTTTACATAGTTTTTAAGAATTTTTATATTTTTTTGTAGATAAATATTTTTAAAATCGTTTGTTATATTTACTATGATAACTTGTTATTATTTAACATAAATATTTAAATTTTTGTAATATTATTTAGATTTATAGATATAGAGTTGTTTTATAGTAACAGAATGCATATTGAAGGCAAATTAAATAAATAACGAGGCTAATGCAAAAACTTTCATACCATGGCCAGCAAAGTTTTCATACAGAGACCGTTAGGAGATGAAAAAAATCAACAACAATCCTTTCCTACATATTTTTTTTTATTTAAACACCTAATTATAACTTCGAAATGACTCTTATCAATTTTCAATGGGAATAGAACGAAAATTCAAATTTTACTACAACAGTAACCCTTAGACCCAACCTCTTCACACATGGGAACGGCTGCTATATAAGATCAGTAGAATATCTTAAAACTAATTTATTAAAGAAAATACTCTTCTAATTGACTTCCAAGTTGATCCAATTAATGCCTAAATGGTTCTGAAAGCCAAAAGACTGCATACAATATACTAATTTAAAATTTTGAGAAAAAAAAACAAAAAACATATATATATATATATATATATATATATATATATATATATATATATATACATATATATGAATTGTGGTATACAATAGCTTTGTATGAGTGGTATTGAAGTTATAATTCAGCATTTAAATAAAAAAATATGTAGGAAATATTAGTCTATATATGAAAGCTTTGCAGGCAATTGAACATATTCGGTCCCTAAAATGTTTATGAAGAGAAAAGCATGTTGCATGAATATGCACAAGTTTGAGAATGTATTTTTTAATTATCATCATTATTCCTATTAACATAGAATGTAAATAAACTAAGAATACTCTAAAATTAAATTTTTTATTTCAAAATTTATCAAGAAATAGTTTATTGATTACCTTATTTTTCTATTATAAACAAAGAATTTTTTTAATGAGCCACTTTTTTTTGTTGGTATTATTTGTATGGGGGAATTATCCTCTATATAAAGCTTAAAATGAATGAATGCTTTCTTTTATTGAAGTATAAAACAGGTATGGTCAAATACGAGCTCAAAAAGCTATTTGCAGTATTGCCATAGATGGTGCTGTGTAGTATATATCTATACAGTATACATTTTTCTATTTTATAAAACAGATTAGAAATATTTTGATTGCTTTAGAATGATGAAAATTGACAAAGAAATTAAGTGGATAAATGAAATTTATAATAAATTATTGTTTATTTATACTAAACTTATTTCACATAATTATATCTTTTACCCAAAACACCACTAAAACTAATTTGTGAGAATTATATATAATTAATAGCAAAAATATACGTTTATATTTTGCAATAAAAAATTCAAATCTTTCTGCCTAATGCAACTGTCTAGTGACTCATGATTCAAGCTTCTTACTAATAAATTCCCAGTAGTAGATCTAGGCCTTGCAGAGCCCTGAGCTATGCGATATTGTAAGATTCTCTTGTTAGGGCATGGGACTGCCAGGGTGTTTGTATGGTTTGGTTACCCAATTTTATTTATTATACATAGCGAGTTTATTACATAGGTATATTCATTCTTGTACAGAGTAAGCTCCTACAATCAGAATCATGTGTTAGACTCTGTCATGTGTATTGAATTTGTCGGTTTCCCATAATTTTATTATTTATTTTTTGTATATGGAGCAGGACCTCAAAAGCAATCTTTAGGATGAGCTATAGAATTTTCTGTATTGTATTTGTTTCAACCCATAGGGAATAAAAGTATATAAAAATCTGATACAGTTTTTTAGATTCGGTGATAGTAAAAGGTTTTATATGTTTAGCGAAGCCTAATCAGGCCAGCCTAGATCGTCAGCAGTGAAAATACTTTTCTTGTTATTATAACTATTTTGTTTTATTGTTTTCAGTAATGCACCTTCATAATAAACCAAGAAAAAAATAATTAATTCTCAAAATTTGAGATATTACAAGATAGATGAATGAAAGAAAAGCTAATCTGTCAATCCACAGTATACATCTTTCCTCTGAGACCTCTTGGTCAATTTTTATAAATATATAAATAGTAGGCTCATTCCGATACCACTTTTGATCTTCATACAAATGAGAAAATTTTAGCCAAGAATATTTGCAGATGACATAATACTGGCATCTGAGGAATTGGTCACCAAGATTTAGGTAGAGTCCTAGTGTTGTAGGATCCTTGCAAAGTGAGAATATCTAGCTTCTCTAACACTGCAGTCGTATAATAAAAAGACCATATCACACGGACAAAAGGTCTTTTTAGTTAATAAAGTGAGCAAAAAGCTTTGGGGCATGTCTAAAATTTGTATATTGTGAAGGATTATAATGCACTGATATTGAGGGAGGGAACTAGTCTGGCAACTGGGCCTTGTGGTCTTTTATGCCTATTCCTGATGGCTACGTTGAGGTTGCTGCAGCATACTTACCGAAGTGTGAATGTCAAGATGTATATCTCGGGGTCACCAAGAAATAAATATTAACCAACACAGATGATAATCGAACATACAATGTTCAAAACAAAAGGAATCTGGCACCCATGCCTTGAAGTGATTGGCCTGTATGTTCTATAGAATAAAAAGGCAAGGAAGAATTTTCTTTTGAAAAATTATGTAGAACCAACTTCATAGGATCATTCATAGATAAAGAAAATATGCTTCTAAAACAGTAGGTAATGAGTATTCAAAATAATTTATAATATTTTATTAATTAAAATTTCACAATTATCATTACTTACATATGTATCGTACTTATTGAAATTAGATTTACAATAATTCTGAATGATTTCGAAATACTAGGTTTCAGTGCAATGTTCTCCATGAAAGTGGTAATCTTGATCTTTTGGAGAAAAATATTGTTGGTTGATTACAAAAATTCAATAAGTCAGTTTCCATAACGTTAAGTCACAAAAAACTTTGATGTATTTTTCATTTATGAAATTAGAAAATTGTGTGCTTGTTGCAAGTGTTTTTAATACTTAAAGGGGTTCATGTCATTTTAGAGCACTTACTGTGTTTGTTTATTCATAAATAAGGTTGAAATTCATAAAAGCATTCTTAAAAGCTCAGTTCCATCAAAAATGTTCTTAGTGACTGTTGACGATAAACCGGCAATATATGACATCACTTTTTTCATCTATATGCAAGAATATCATTTTAAAATTTAATTATTGACAAATATAAAAAATAAACATGTCTTCAAGCTAGTCATCATTGTCATTGTTAGCTGAGGAAGTAGAACCTGTAGTAGAGCCAGTAAAACAAAATTCTCTGTTGCAATATGACTGGTCCACTAATGAACTATAGCCAGCTTTGAATGTCTCAAGGTCACACAACTCTTCTCCATTACAATGTGGAATTTCAACAAGTTTTTCATTGACATATACACCAACTTTAGGTTGTTTTCCTGTTTTAGTCTTGCAGCTATAAAAAAAAAAAAAAAAAAAAAATATATATATAAATAAAAAGATAAAGAGAAATAACAATCAGAAATGTTTAAATATAAAATATTTTGATCTTAAGTGGTTCTATTTAAACAACTTTATTGCATTATTTACCATTATAAGAAAATGTTACAGAATGGTTTTTAGATAGTATTAGTATTTTTCTTAATCCAAAATGCATTTATACTAGTAGGCACCCTAAGCCTTATCATTAATCCTATGGTCTCTACATACATGTTGTGTTCTCGATATAATTCTTTTTCTGGCCAGTTTCCTGATTAATATTTCACATTATATGCTTTCTACAATTACACTGCTACCTCCTTGATTTTCAAGTTCATTAGGTACTTATTTCATTCAGATATTTTTATTTTAAGTTAATCGTCATGCTTCTTACTATTGCAGATATATTCTGTTTTTTCCCTCATGAACTGTCATTTTCCATTAATATATCTAAAATACATTTTCTTTTTGTTTTCTCACTCTTCTGAACTATTGTATATTGCTTCATTTTCCTTATTCTTTTAATTTACCAAGATAAAACATGTATATAGGTTTTAAACTATTCTCAAAACTTATAGTTTCCTTTTGTTCAAATTATATCAATTGTTACGTCTCTCTGGATTGATCAGCTGTAATAATTTAGAAGAAGAGAAATACTGGTGATTATATCAATTTCATTAAATTCATAAATTTCTCTTGTTGTTTCATTTTCACACTCAAAAGTAAGAAATCAAAAGTAAAAGTTTAATGAATTATTACATAAATTATAAAAAAAAAACAAAAAAAAAAAAACAATATTATTAAAATTTACCTATAAAGAACTGAAATTATGTTTGCTGAAAAAGGTGTGAGGTATGATGTTCTCCAACAATTATCTCTTTCTGATGGACTGACATATCTGTTCCCAGGCAAATCTTCCTGGCATCTCCCAATACCTAATGAGACTAATAATTCTCTTATTCCTGATGAATGAGCAAAGTAAGTATTGGCCTTAGGAAGATATTCAGAGCTATAAGAAAAAAAAATTATAATAAAATCAACGTAATACGCATAAATGTGCAACTCATAAAAAAAAAAAAAAAAAAAAAAAAAGATGATAGAACTTACAGATTCAGTTTCTCAATCATATCTTGAACTAACTGACATCCTAGTTTGGATGTATACTTATTTCCATATCCAGATTTCCAATAATATGTCAAATCTTCCAAATATTCCATTAACTAGTGAAAAAAAAATGAAATAATTTACCAGAATCATGTTATATTTTGCATCAAATAAGCTATAATTCTATACTATAACGGTAATAATAAGATAAATTATAAATTAATTGTTGAGATAGTAATAAATAAAAAAGATCTAATATGTTCAGTGTTATAGAAAACTAAAATATAAGATTTTTTAGTGCTTAAATCTACCTGTAGTTCTTTGGTAGAAAAGACTCCACACCAAGTTGAATATTCCCCATGATACCAAGAGTTTTCAAATGCACAAATATCATACATATCCTTGACCGTTTCTAAGAAATGAGAGGATTAGAAAAATGATATGTTATAAGAAACCATTGAATTGCCTAATGATAATTTATTTACCAAAGGTAAGTTCATCAGTAAAGCCTAATCTGTTATTGACATTGTGCAATAAAATTGCAGCCTCAGATGAATTTTCAAAATCTTTGATATGCTTCTTTAAAGTTGGACTTTCAGTTGTTGTTTTCCAAAATGGACATTGTTTAGTATTCTAGAAATATTATTAAAAGTGTTTGTTTGATCATAGCAATAACATTAAAGCAAAGCTGAATTGAGGTCATAAAATATATTAAGCAGTAAATCTTTACCTTTAGAAGATTGTCATCTATATTATCATTAAGATATGATGAATAAGACCCAAACAAGCCTTGAAGTAGAGCTTCTTCACTTTCATCAGTTCTTTCAGCAGATGTTCGTTTCACCTATATGTAAAATATATATATTTTTCTCTCAATGATGGTAAGGATGATAGAATACATTGCAATAACATAATACTTTATGAAACAACAATAGCCATTTAAACAACAAACATATTTTTTTTCCATAAAAAATAAAATGTATAATATTGTTAATTTATATTTGCTATATTGGAGTTCAACAAATAGGTAGGTTTTCTACAAGACGGTGTCCTATAATTTTATCATAGTTCACATTTAATTATTTTATTTTTAGATTTAACACGTCTTTAAATTTCAATAAACAATAATAAATATATACTCTTTTTTCTAAAGGTACTTAAAGTTCAATCTTAAGAAACATACAACAATATTATTAACTATACTGATAATAGTTAAACTATATTATAATTGTGAGTTATTTTAGTTCTTAAAATCCTTTTCAAAAACATTGACTATATACCATTTCTTTTCATTGCATTCTTACATGAATTTAATGAACCATAAAGTCTTTATATTATTTTTTAAAGAATTCCATAGTCTCAAAATTTCACCCAAATTTAGTTGTTTATTCATTAAGATTGGATCTCAATTTCCTTCAGAAAAAAAAAAATTAAAAATATATTTATATTTTTATAGAAAATATATTAGAAAAATTAATTTACTAAGATGACCCCAAAGTTATCTTGATTGGTTGATGATTTTTTCATTTTTTTTTATTGGCCTTTTAGGTATGTAACATTTTTATAAAATAACATTTTAAAATAAAAACAATTGTACAAGTTTTTATCAATAAAATGTATGTGAAATTATTAATTCTTTTATCTAATTTGCTTAATATCTTGATTGATTAATAAAAATATGAAATAACTAAACATGATATATAAACCTTATTTTAGTTAAAAAAATAAAATAAAATAAATAAATAAAAAAAAACCTTTCCTTTTCCTCTTAAAAATTTAATATGTTTTAATTGGTTTAAAAGGAAAATATAAAATACATAGATGAATTTAAATCATTACATTGATAGACTCCAAATGCTTCTTGTCAAAAATGTGTGAAAATCTCTTTTTCAATCTTTTTCCCAAATCATAAAGTTCTTTATAACCAGATAAGGTAAGGTGCATATTTTGGTCATCAGTTATATTGAAACTCCAATCATGAAGTAAATAAAGTTGAAATTGATTGAGTCTTCCATCTTTGTAAAATAAAAATGTATATTAGGTTAAAAAAGATTAGAAAAAAAAATGAAAGAAATTCAAATAAAAATATTAAACCAATATATAAGTTTATAGGTTAGGTGCTAGTGTTAAAATTAAGAAGTTCATTTGTGGTGTCAAATTAATGATATTACCTAATTATATGAAAGTACTACTTTAAGGACCAATCACTGAAAAATTTCTTGAAAGATGTATCTAGTGATAATTTATAGGATTACAATAGTTGGAAATTATTTAGGTTATGTAAAATTATTTTTTATATTATACCATGCTTTTTATATTTTATAATCAAGTGGTTTTCCAAAAATAAAGCCTATAAGTCTTCAAATAGCAGAAAATAACCAAGCGGTAAATGCTTCACCAATGCCCACTGTTACTTGGTTAGTTATTATCTTCTATTTAAGAGAATCAAGGCTATGTTTTGGAATATTCCAATAATTTGTTTTTATTTAATTATCCAACATTTTTTTTTTCTAAAACATCAGTTACGAATTAAATAAAACTAACAATTTTACAATTTATTTTTTCTTATTTTCCTTTATCAGATTGTTGCATATTTTTTAGGCTGAAATAAATTTTTTTATTGCCGATCAGATAAAACTTAAACGGTATCCATCTACCTGTCATATACTTCGTAAATGTGGTTGTTAGTAAAAAATTTATTATATTAAATCAAGTTTTTCTGATGTAACTTTTATTCGATTAAGTCTGAGAGGCTTATTATTTTAGAGACGTTAAAATTAAATTTAAAATAGATTAAAAAAAAAATCTTATCTAATCTTTATGAAATGTAACATACTACATTAACACATCAGTAAATTGTAAAATTGAAATGTAAGGATATTTAAACTTGATATAGTAGACAAGTGCCCCCATACTCGTATATTTTAAATTGAAATTTTGTATTTACGATTCAAAAAGTTAACTTTTTTCGGTTTTCCGATTATTTCAGAAAAAAACTATACAAAGATTCTATGTGAACAAAAGTTGTAAATATATATATATATATATATATATATATATATATATATATATATATATATATATATATATATATATATATATATATATATATAAACGTTAAATTAACGTTAGCTTGTTTTGGTTCTCTATTTATACTTGTCTGGGCGCCATTTTATATTCCTCTCAAGTAAATACTGAAATCCAAACATTGAAAAATCAATTTGTCTTTTTTAATCAATGTGCTGATCTACCAATTATTTAATGATAAAATATCTGTTTTGATTTCACTACAAATATATCTTCATGTTACAGGGGAAATATTCATATACGATAACCATTATTTTGAGTACTAGACTAATACAACTAGGCTAAAGTACTGTTATTTAAAAAAAATAAACAAATAAAGATATGACCAATAAAAGCCGGAAATCGATAATTTTTACTAATTGTGTGTTTCAGTTAAAACTTCAAAATATGATATTTATTAATTGAAATTATCATACTAATAAGTATTAAATTTCTATTCACAATGATATATGAATAGGAATTAAAAAAAATGGAAAAGCAATAAATTTTAAATCAGAAATATATCACTAATTCTTATAATAATATATCCTCAAATTGTTTTTATCATGAGACTGATATTTTTTATTTGATTAACATATTATAGTATAAACATAACCTAACTTCAGTAATCAACATTAAATAAAGGAAAACTCCGTAATTCCCTACCGTGTAAAAACAAAATTTTCAAGGATAAACATTTAAGAATAAAATTTTCACTAAACATTATTTTAAAATAAGATGCGTAATGCAAGAGGAGTTGTCTGTTACGGAGACCAGTTCCAGGGAAATACATAAACATTAAACATCCGAGAAATTAAAGAGATCTAAATTGGTTATTTCGCTTTAATTTCTCGGCTGTTATCGGTTCGGATATTTAAATTGGTTATTTATCTCTGTCTCCCATAGTTTGTGAAATGTATTGACCATTGTTAAGACATTATTTTTCAGCTGGTGCGTATCATATTGTGTCTGAATCATTTTTTATTCATGTCAAAAGTTTGTCAAGTTAATAAGGAATAAATTTAAAATGGAGCAATAGATAAATATAACGACATTAAAAAAATGTTATCTTTGAAAAATTATGACTTACTTCCACTGGCGTGATTTGAGATGATCCTATCTCTTAGATCTTCCAGCTTTCTATATCTAACCATTTCCCTGACATGTGGGTAACGAGTTCCATGTCTGAAGAATGCCCACATTGTTTTTGGTTTACAATCTTTAACAGATTAACAAGTTTTATAAATTCACTCTTTTATTGATATATTAATTAATAACATTGTTATAATGACGTCTGGTTGGAGAAACAGTACTAAATCAACTGACAGTGTACTGAGACTTAATCATATTCTTGGTATAATAAATATAAAACTTAATTTACCATCAATTTTCTTGATTTTGCCTCGTACTGCATCGTAGGCAGTGGCAGTAGAGAATAGTTGATAAAGAGATTCCCTTTGTTCTAACTTTCCTGTATGAAAATTGCCTTCAGCATATATGAAGACAATGATTAAAACTATACAAGACACCTATAAAATGATAAGATTAGATGTATAACATACACATCTACAAAACTAATTGAAATAAAATCATTAATAGCATGCTGATAAAATTTTACAAACAATTAACTTCATTATCTGATACGTCTAACTCCACTTTTGATTAATTCACAAGATAGTGAACCGCAGCAGAACAATTTATCACTATTGGCCTCAAACGTGCACAAGATATATATAAAATTTAAAAACAAATATTTAAGATTTCGAGCGATTTAACCTTGATCATGCATACAATTTTTTTTATTTATTTTTTTTATCACTGATATTACCAAGTAGTTTGTATTTGTTTTATCTAATGATGACGTCCTGTTTGTATCTTTTTAAATTCATAATACGGAGGTGATGAAACAACAATTAATATCCAATAAATATCTTTCATCATATCACATAATTTTCATATAAAATTTAAATAATAACTAGTAACTTTATAATTAGAAAGCTTTAAATAATTCAAAAAGTTGTCGGTGGTTCCTTGTTGTAATTTCCGATAGTCATTTGTTGTTTGAAGGGTAGTTTAATAACGGTTATTTTTTTACTAATAATATTTATCAGTATAAAAAATAATTTAATTTAATATCATAAGCATAGCAAGACTAGTTATAAAAAGTCCCATTTGACTTCTAAGATAGCTCACATGTTTGCAGTGGCTTAAGATTTTGAGGTCCGTGGCTGTCACATTTTGTTTTATTAAGTTTAATCAAATATTTAGACCAGGTGACGCCAGGAAAAACTACTACTTGCCCAATTACTTTATAATGACGTAAATTTAGATATATCGCTCAGAAACGTTAGCAAAACGAGATGACGGAAGGTTTAGCACCTCTGGCAATATTTAAAGCAAGAATTGTATGACAATGTACTGAATGAAATATCAACTATCAGAATAAATAGTCACACTTAAGTGTGAATAGGAATTAAAAAGTAAAAATCAAAAATTAAAAAATGGTAAAGTAATAAATTTTAAATCAGAAATATATCACTAATTCTTAAAATAATATATCATCATATTATTTCTATCATGTGACTGATGTTTTTTATTTGATTAACATATTATAGTACAAACATAACCTGTCTTCATTATTCAACATTAAATACCAGCAGAAAATGGCGCATATTAATTAAATAAGATAAAATCTCCGCAATTGCGCGAACTAATCCATGGTACAGATCCCTTTGTATCAAATTATTAACATCCGCCAGAAACTTCGTGAATGCCTTCATCCCATCTTATCTAAACCTTTTTTATTAATGAAAATTCCGGGATTAGATCGATTTAATTAGGTACTACAGCCTCGTAAATTCTTATTTTCTTTCCACTTGAATCGGAAGATAATATCATCATAAAATTGATAAAAAAAGATGGCCTGCAAAAATATTGGGCCGTTTAGCATGACCTCCACTTATATATATAGTTATTATAGGCCATCACATATGACATAGTTATATATGACAAACGGTCTAATTTTTGTAGGCCATTTTTTTTTATCGATGTTGTTATCATATTATCTTACAATTCAAGTGGAAAGAAAATTGATATTTATAAGTTTTTAGTATTTAACTAAATAGAGAATGTTTGCCGATCTCCAGATTGAAAAGAATTGACGTAAATAAAACAATTGTAGTTTACGATGAGATGAAGCTATTCATGAAACTCACAAAGTTTCAGGCGGGTTTTAATAATTTGATAAAAAGAAGTCAGTACCATCAGAGTGCCAATCCTTCCCAAGATCGATGACGCATGAACCATCCCCCTTCCCTTCCAAGATATTTTATTACTCTCCTCTTCTTAATAATAGAGCAAACTGAAGAAGAATTTTAAAACTTATTGGTCATATACAATTACACTTTCAGCGCTCTGTTCTGTACTTTCCTCTTGTCCTCTGGTTTGGAACTTTTCAATTAGAAAATCCATAACCCCGTCGAAATATGCCACCTCAAAAAGACAAAACCCCATAAAAATGTGCTCCCTTCAAAAATTTTGATTGCTCAACTTGAGCCATGATACTGCTTTGTGGGCTCCCCTTAACCACGGCCTATATTACTGACCTACCGTGCAAAATTAAAATTTTCAAGACTAAAAATTTACGACTAACGTTTTCATTAAAAATTATTTTAAACTAGGATGCGTATTGCAAGCGGAGTTGCTCGTCACGATAACCTGTTTCCGCGAAATACATAAGCAATAAACAACCAAGAAATTAAAGAGAAATGACCAATTTAGACATCTGTGTCTCCCATATCATATCTCATGTCTCCCATAAATAGTCTTTGATGATGGGTTAGTAACCCGAAACATCAGACTAAAGGAATAAAAAAAAAATTAAGTATGGAAGAGATGCATTTTAATTATAAAACCTAGAACGAATATTGTATAAAACGTGTTAGTTATTGATGCACCAACATGAAAATTTGACTATCGAAAACCGACATGTTTTAAAATCTAAAAAAGTAATAAAAAAAATGAAATTTACAAATCGACACAAAAAGCCGCCTCACAAGTTATTGCATACAAATGAGATAAACCCAGTATCCAGGGAAATATTTATTTAATTCTTATTTTTTTATATCAGTAATATGTTTTCTTTTTTATTTTGTGTTTATATTAAATATGTAAATTATTTTAGTAGATTTCAGTCATAATTGATTCAGTTCTAATTTTCTTCATTTTTTTATAAACAATTATATTCATTTTTCACTAGTTTTTAGCAATTAGTCTTTTTAATAACAAACTTAATATTTTTATAAGTTATTAGCAATTTGTTTAACAGCGATTTCCTACCGTTCTTTTCAATTAATTTTTTATGTTTGTGCTATTCAAGGGACATATGCTTGTTTTTATTTTTTCCATTTTGATTAGTAAGCATGAATTACGGTTAGGATAAAAACTGAAATTTTCTGCAATCGTCGGTTCAAAATATATTAATTTTCCAAGCGACGATATCAGTAACCCTGATAAGAACGTCACGGTTGACGACTGTCGGGTATGACGTCATCACTCCTTCCAAAGATTTCCTTACAATTTTAGTACACTTCACCGTTATCTTTGTTGAACACCTACTTAAATAATGCTGAAAAGAAATTAACCGCTAATATAGACTATAGATAAGGAGATGCATAGTGTGCCTTATTATACTTGAACATACATAACATATTATATTTAATTGACGAAAGTATATATATATTCTTTTTTTTTTAATGAGAAAGAACTGAAATAATAATAAGGTTTGAATTCATTTATGACAATAGGTTAATTGAAATTTTCAAGTTCATTATTGAGCAATCATGCACTACTTAATAAAATAATAACGATAACCAAACATAATTTGGCTCATGTTAATAAAATATTTATGAACCATAATTAGAAACCGGATGTTGGTACAGTAAAACTCCGAAAAACGTGCAGAAAAAAATTAAAATGTGCAAAATCGTGCAGTAAAAAACCGAAACATATAAAATGAACACCTATGTATTTAGTTTTATTTGGATGCCATGTACAAATTTATTTATAAGTTAGAGGCACATTATTCCGTTTCATATTTATTTCAATTACATGTTCAATAAAAAATCCATGGGTCGTTCCATGCCAAATCATCCAGAAAAATTTCTAACCCACTCCAATCAGATCCTAATGAAAATTTGTCGATATTAAGTAAATATACATGTAAGTAAAAATACCAAATTTTAGCCAATTCTAACGATTAATTTGAAAATGATAGACTTTTAAACGTTTGAAATATTTGAAGTAGGGATTACATTTTAGGCTCAAAACCAGCATGTACCTGTTTACAAGGAATTTTCCCAGGGGGAGGAGGAAAGCTCGACGTTTCCGACTACTCCAACACTTACTAGACAAACGCTCTAAGCTTACAATCAATTACAAACGACTCATATATATGACAATAATAAGACTTATTTGGACTTACGGAATTGAGTTTTGGGGCTCCACTAAACCATCGAATTCCTCTCGTATCCAATCCTTACAATCCAAAATCCTTCATAAAATCCTCAATGCTCCTTAATTTGTCAAAAATAAAATCAATTATAACGACCTTAAGGTTCCATATGAATCCAATCTAGCCCAATCCAGATACCTATCCTTCCATAACAAACTCCAGAACCATCCGAACCCTCTCGTTTCAAAACTTGCTTCCTCCTCGATTCCTGATAACCCTCCGGGGCGTCCGAAAAGAAGATGGCCTCGTGATCTGCAAATATATTATTAGACTGCTACCAATGGGTAGTTTCTCAACAAGAGTTGTCATGTGATTGTATTAATATTGTGTGCACATTTACTAGTTGTATTTTTTTATAATACAGTTGTAAATATCAATGAATAAAATATATATATATATATATATATATATATATATATATATATATATATATATATTACATTAGAAAAGTTGTCTATGAGGACGAATTCTCCCTATATTTCTCTTTTCTATAAATAGCTGTTATTTGGAATTTTTTGTACACCATCCTAGGGGAGGGGCATTTGTTTACAAATTGTTTGGGCAGTTGTATTTTATCAAGTTTTCTAATATAATTGGTGCATTGTCGAAAGCTCCAACAATTTCTAGTTTAAGCATAATGCAATTAGATTTTGTTTCCAGTGCACTTTCAATGTAAGTTTTTGCCTTATACAGAGCATATCTTATACTTTTTTGTAGTCTAAATCCAAACTGATTAGAGTGCAACATTTGTTTAGATGTTAAGTAGTGTTTCAGTCTATTATTAATTAATTTGTCTAGAACTTTGCTCATGATTAGTAGAATCGTTATTGGTAGTAATTTGTTAGTCTTGTTTGGGTATTATGTGTAGCAATCCTTTTTCCAGCTTGCCAGATTGATTGACTGTTGCCATATATGTTGGTAAAGATATGTGATTAAGAATATTTTTTGGTCACGTGCTGTAAGATTTCAGTACTGATTTTGTCATGTCCTGGTGTTTTATTTTTGTTTAAATCATTTATGATCTGTAGAACCTAACTCTTTTCCAAAGAGCTGTCATTCTCAGTATTTGGGGGTTGTTTGAGTCTCATTCTTAAATTTAAAATAACAATGTAATGCATATAATATAATTTGCATGATGTATGCACACCTATGTGTGCATAGAAATATACACCTCTTCTGTAGGGTTACTACAGAAGAAGAAAAAAACTTATTTATTTTGCACACTATATATACACATATCATATATAATTGGATTGGAAATAATGACCATAACTTATTGACATAGTTTATTTACAGGAAATATGTTTTATTCAAAATAAGAGATAACAAATATTAAGCCTATTTACAAATAACGTTTATATTTCCATTCTTAATTCTATACAGACTTGTGAAATTCACTTTTAAAAAAATAATTACATTTTACATACTTAATTATATTACCAAAATTGTATTCCATTCCATTAACAATAACACTGATTGAACTGAAAATGGGGTATAGTTCCTCCATTTAACATCAGTTATTTTTGATAATTTAATTATTCCTGACCCATTGATAAACAAAGATTGATATTACTACAAGAATATCCATCACACCTTTAATATAATAACATCTTGGATCATGCAACAATACATTACTAACTCCTACACATAGTAATTTAAATTTTAGCTGAATTTAGATTGTAGCAAAAAAAAAAACTTTATTTGTCTGTTTAAACTGTAACATATTCATTGATTACATGGATTAATTTAGAAGTGACTTACATGCTATTAACATCAACGAGTATACAATATTTTTTGGCATGATTAAATGATACATACACATATTTTTAAACTAATTTCAATGTCCTATTGCATGTTAGGTAATATTGAATACATATATTTATTAAATAAAATACATTTAAACATAAATTTCATCTAATCTAAACATTTAACTTCTTTTTACATTGTACAATGAGCAATGCACATTGATGGAGTGATACTTGAGCTTAGAAATCATATTTTATGTTTTCATACTGCAAAATTCACATTCCTGTTAGGTTGTTTTTCTCAAGATGTCTTTAATACTTGTTCTTTGAAATTATTATTAAAAAAGATAAATCATAAACTAATTGATTAATTGATCCTATTTTTAAACAAATCTGTAATTGAAACTTGCAATGAAAAACATTACTTGCTTTTTTTTTTTAATATCTTAACTTTAAGTGTTATTTATGTACTAAATAAATACTGGATTAGGTGTACTGGACCTTCCCAAGGTTGTATGATCCATAAAGTAAGACAATATCAGTATAATTTCTTTCAAAGGTAGAGATTTTATGAAATATAATTTTTTTTTTCCATTTGAAAAATGTAATCCCAATTTTATATGTGTTGTTTATGAATTACATTCTATATCAAATTTAAAAAAAAAATTTCTAAAATAATTCCTCAACTGACATGAGTGTTAGTGGTCATTGTTTATATTTTATAATATTGATTATATGATCATCACTGAGATTGGCAAATTACTATTAGCTTTAATGAGCTAGTTATTTATTATTAAATCCCACCAAACATCATGAACGAACCATGGAATGGATGAGCAGTACAAAATAACAAGGTGCAGTAACAAAATAACAAGGAACAATAACAAAATAATAAGGTGACATGCTATTCAAAACTTTTACTTGCTGTTATTTTTTATTCTATACAGTTTTGTTTGTTTTTTCTAATTAAAAAAAAAAACGTTTCCACCTCATATGAATATCGACAATTAATGTGATGTAATAAACATCGTCAATATTTGCATAAATCATTAGCTAATGATTACATGTTTGCTCTTGGATCATAACAGGAGAAAAGAAGACTAGGTTGGGTGTTGGGTAGGTAGTAGCAGGACGGTGTGGGATTGAAAGGCATTGTCTTCATCCTCCCACAATATTTTATAATGAGGCCAGCCCTTCCAATAGTGAAAAATATCCCTATTCTAATTATGGAATAGGAAATATGAGAAAACTCTATATAAACTGGATAAGACTTTTATTTCTGGACAAATATCAAATTTTAAATAACAGAAAAATCTAAACTAAACGTTTTTCAGGAATTTTAGGAAAGTTGGAGTAAATTTATTTTTCTCTATCACATTTATAAGAGTACATGTAATTTATAGGAGTAATTACTTTTTCTACTCTTTTGTAAACATTCTACTCATGAGCATTCTGGTATGAGGATTCTGGTATGAATACAATGATAAGAAAATGTCTTTTAACAAACCAAATGTTTATTAAAAATCTTAAATATTTTAATTTAAAAGTGTTTTTATCTTCTTAATTGTGAACTGATTTAACTTTGCAGACACTGTAGACCTAATATATTTTAAATTAGCATTATTTTTAATTAAAAACAAGCCAAGGAACCAATATGTTGTGTTGACGTTTTTTGTCCTCTGAATAATACTATCTTATTTTTCATATTTCAATACTTTGTGATCCACTTCAATCTTTATTGTTAACGTCAAAAGCCTTTATACAAACTCTAGAAAGCTGAATTTGTGTGAAAATTGTTCTAATATAGGAATTCTTAATTTTTCGATAATTTAATTTAGCATTCTACATTTCATATTTCACTTTCACTTATCTTTATATGTGATGCATATTAAGGGTTAAGGGAAAGTATTGCGACCGTGAAAATTTTCGGATCTGAGTTTCCCTGAGTTCAAATAATCAAGTCCAAAATGGTCTGTGTGTGTATGAACAGTATAGCTCTAAAACGGAAAGTCGTACGAAACTGATATTACATATTTAAAATAGGTATATGACTTAGATGTTATGAAAAGTTTTTCCTTAAAATCGGATAACCGGAAGTGCCACTTTATATCAACGGTGAAACACATTTTTAAAATATTCTCAAAAATGGGTTTGACGATTTTGATTAAACTCGGTGTATCATTCTATAATTAAGTGGTCTTTAATATTATTCAGGTCTTATTCCCGTGGATGTCACTTTCGACAAAACTTAAGATTATTTCCTTTGGCCTCATTAAAATTACATATATATGAAAAAAATCATACAGTGTACAATTTTTTTCTTTTAAATAGGATTCCTAATAGTTTCAGCGATTATTTAATTATTTTTTACCATTGGCTTAGGAGCTTATAGAATATTTGTCTTCACAATGTTATAATTTTTTTAATAAATGTATGGAACATAAACTTTTTAAATGTATTTTCAGTTATAAATGTCCTAACAATGCATTCGATATTGCGTGAGGTTCTTTCAGGTGGTCTGTGTCTAAAAGCATGACCAGTAATGGATTCTCAGGTGTTTTAAATACTTTATTACTGCTAATGGCCTTAAAAAGGATGTAAACTATTTAGCAGTTAATGCATCTTACTTCAAGCTATTGATAATTAACGAGTTTTGCTATTTAAGTAAGTCACCATTAACCCGCAAGTCATAGTGGAATGTAGTATTCTTATACTATTTTAATTAATTTTTATTTTGTAGTACTGAACTTTCATACGTTATTTTCATACGTTCATTCATATTCATACGTTAAGATCAACTAGTTGTCAATGTTGCAAAAAGCACTGGTGCACTTTAGGCGATATTTATTTTTTGACAAAAAATAAAAAACAAACAAAACAACAGAAATGAAATATGTTTTAGTTCAAAATATCTCAGCTTACAGTTAAAAATGAATTAATGATTTATTGTAATTATATTTGAAAACATAGTAGTACTTAAGATTTAAGTAAACAAGATTTCACATAGCGTAACTTTTTTTTACAAAACTGGCGCGTAATCCCAGTTTATTTTAAAATAAACATTAAGATAACCGATGTCGACTTCGAAAAAGATTATTAAATCTTTAATTTTTTTCAAAAATCGGGGTACCAGTATTTCAGTAGGAACCAGATTAAAAAGAAATCGCTAATAATTCATGGAGTTTTTTTTAAAATAAGAACTTAGCCAAAAGTACAGCCAACTAAAGCTGGATTCAAATAATCTTCTTTTCGATGAATCTCGTTTGAGTAATTTTAAGTACTGTTTGTGTGTTACCACTTAATAAACAATCTTCTTAATAATTATAGCTTTTATTATTTTTAATTGGTAACAAAGAGACAACACTTTCATAGGACATATTTAAGCAAGTACTGGCTGAATGGGGATTGAGAATACCTTAAACATTTTTTTCTTACCATTTATCTAGATTCTCTGGAGTCTTGAAGTAATACCGTTATGATTAGGCTTTAATCGAAGTTATTATTAGCACTGAGAGTTTGATTGAATGAAGTCGGTCCACCAGAGAGTTTTTTCAAATTGCCTTTACGAAGATTTACTTGTGAGAATCAAATAATGTATTAGAGTGAAGGAATTTAAAAACAGTTATTAGGAGAGCCTTAATCATGATACCAGAGAACCTACTGATAATCTGATAATGTCAAGATTACGAGTTTGAGTCTCGGTGTCAGTGGCGTTTAACTAAATCATATTGATCCGCATACCTTCTGCTTTGGCCCAGGGAAAATCCCGTATAGCAGAAAAGCCGAAGAAGAGGAGAAAAGAAAAAAAAAAATACTGCTCATGGGGAGGCACTGTTCGACAAGCAACCCTTTAGTGGAACCGATTTTTAACAACTCAAATAGGCAAAATGGTTACATAGACAAGCGCTCTAAAGACGTAATTGGGGTCTAAATTTCAACTGTTAGAAACCGCGTCCATGAAGATGGTTTGAGGGCAAGATCAGTGATTATGGTTTCTTTACTAAAACAACAGATAGCACCACTTCTCTTTGTTGATATTTTAATCGTACTGCTGAGAATTGGAACCGTTCTTGTAATGATGAATCAAATATTTCATGATTAGAGAGCGGATTTTCTTGTTTTTGCACATTTTGTTCGCTTTGGTGTAATAACTTCAAACACGTTCCGTTTCACGATCTGTAGAATAACATATTTAAATTTCATTTTGCACGTTTTGGCGTTTTCAGGCCTAATTGAACGTTTTGGAGCTTTTAAAAATATACAATTTTAACAGTATATAGTAAAATACATGAACCGAATTTCCTTTATAACATGTACATAGGCATATATGTAAATATTTATTTACATTGATTATATGTTTGTTAATATGAACTTTTTTGTTCATTTTGTGTTAATGAACACATAACTAATATAGTGCCGTGCAATTACGAAACACCCTGTATATTATATTAGATTTGTAGTTAAGAACAAGTGTGTCCAACCTATGGGCTGCATAAGGACGGAAATAGCTTTTAAATTCTTTGTTCTTAATTTTTTTTTATTCAAAATAACATTTTCAAGTTATGTTTCTGGGACGAAAAGATATTTTAGACTCTTATTGTTTGATAGAGGTAATACAATTATTATCCAAGTACGCACATTTTATATTATAAATAATATAATAATTGGGGAAAACATATTTAATAATATAACTTAATGCATGACCTCCTGTCCTACAGGATCCTTTAACAATTCCCCACTTATCCCAGTTGAACAAATCCGTTACCGAGAACTCCACCTGGCCAAACGACTCACTTGGAATCCTCATACAAGACTGAAACGACAAGAAACTGATCGACGTTTTCGACTAACAGCACTTACTCTCCAATCGCTCTAAACTTTCAATATATTACAAAAGACTCATATACATGACTATATTAAGGCCAATCTGGACTTACGGATTTGAGCTTTGGGGCTCTACTAAACCATCAAATTCCTCTCGTCTCCAATCCTTACAATTCAAAATCCTTCGTAAAATCCTCAATGCTCCTTACTTTGTCACAAATAAAATCATTCATAACGACCTTAACGTACCATATGTTTCCGACTTATCCCAATCCAGATAACTATCCTTCCATAAAAAGCTTCAAAATCATCCGAATCCTCTTGCTCCAAACCTTGCTTCCTCTTCCATACCTTATAACCCTCCAAGGCGTCTGAAAAGAAGATGGCCTCGAGATCAACATATGTAAATATATTATTAGAGTGCTACTAATGAGCACTTTCTCAACAAGCATTTTCATGTGATTGTATTATTATCTTGTGCACATTTACTGGATGTATTTTTAATTTTTACAGTTGTAAATCTCATCTCACCTACAAAGCGTATCATCCTCACGGTACTGTTGTAAGCAGTTCCAAAACATGTCTACATCTTCCAAAACATATTTTACTAACCAACTAGTATGAAATTATTTGTAAAAAACGTGTTATCGTTTGGTTGAATGTTCTTTGATAAAACGCCCCCGGATTACTCAAGGAACTGTGCATATTAACAGAAGTAAGGAGCTTAACTCAACATCTATTTTTTTAAAAATTTAAATTGATCTACACCTGGAAAATCAAGCATCAGTTCAAATATCCACGTTTTTTTTAAATTATGTGATTAATGTTTTGTATGCTGTTTTTCTTTCATACAGATATATGTTAATCGTAGTTCATTTTAACATAGAATTAGACTTTTCTCAGGTTACTACACGTTATACCTAATTTCAATTTATATGATATAATTCTTAACATAGAGGTAAACAAATAATAATATTATAAATTAAACAAAAATTATGATTTTTGCATGTTATGTACGCAATTTTCCAATTTTCGGGGTTTTCACGGCACGAATATCCGGTCTCTTGTCATGATCCATGTTTTAGATATGGGATGAGCAAAACTAGTGATTTAATGGAGTGTTTGACTGGTTTTAGAGCTGTTTAGAAAAGATTCAATAATGGTCTGGTATAGAAATATAGAGTAATCGAAAAATTCAGCTGGTATTGTTTCAGATTGAGAACACGAACAGGGGTGCTTCGACATGAATCCAAGCGAACGTATTTACGTTTTAACATGTTAAAAAGAAATCGCAACAAACACCATACATCAATTGGGGAATGAGCTTCTTTGCCACTAATTTAAATTTTAAACCTCACATGCAGTATGAAACAATGAACTGAATTCTATGTAGAAGTGCTCCGAAATTGGAATGTTTCTTGATAATCAATAAATAGATAGAAGCTTTTAACACTCGTTAAGATTTTTCCTTAATAACCCAATAACCTGAATAAGTCTATTTAATAAATAATGTTTTTAGACAAATCAATAGCCATTAAAACAAGTTTGAAAATTAGTCGTAATAGAATTTTTAAAAATCATAAGTGGTTCACTTCCATTTGTGAGCATTTATTAATATGTAAAGGTTAAAAGCTCTTAAAGTTAAATATAAATTGGATACGTCAATAATCAATGGTAACTCAATGTTGGTATTATCATTGCATTTTCAACAAATGTGAGTATAAATATATATACATACAATACAAATTGATACATATACAAATACAAATTTTCATTTTTTTTTTAGACAACACTTACGAACTAAATTAACTCAAGTATCAAACCCATGAAGACGGTTTAGTGAATATCGCTGCCCATACATGAGCGGCTTATTGTCTGGGACATATTTAATGTCACCTGATGAGATGGCCCATGAAGGAAAGGAAGATTGTTCCCAGCCCGGGAGATATAAAGTGGGTACCTGATCCACCGCTCCGTCTTTCTGCTTCGACGGCTAATTCTGATATCTCATTAGTGTCACCTGCAAAAACGAAATAGTTATTTTGGTTTTCAATACAAGCTATATTTTTCACACTGTATGTTTCATCTTATTATTATTTAATAATCAATGCATAAATACAAAAAAAAAAAAGTCTGAAATATTAGGAAACATAATGTTTGGAATATATCCAAGAATAGTGTTAAGAAAAATATAACACTACTTTATCAGTAGTGTTGTGGTTACTTGACAGAAGTAAGAAAATTATCTTTGACTAACAAACTAACTCTCTATAAAGTTTTAGTTAAACCAATTTGGATTTATGGCATAGAACTGTGGGGTCCTGCTAAAACTTCCAATATTAAAAAAATCCAGTCTTTCCAATCCAAAATTTTACGAAAGATAGTTGACGCACCGTGTTGCAGACGATAGATTACATAAACACTAGAGAATTTTAGACACTGCAAAATAAAACTACAGTAACTTTCACCACAGGCTAACTTACAACATAAATCCTTTGACAGAACACCGCTCTAGAAACCCGTACGGTACACTTTAACGATTACGTAGACGGTGGCCAAGAGACGTGTGTGAAGCTACAAAAAACTTTGCTCATTGCTAAGGAATTTTATGTCCAATTTTGTGTTTATGTATTAATGATAAAACAAAATACTTTATCTGTTGATTTGAGATATGCATCAACTAATCGACAATTATGTTCATTCACTAATATATAATTTCCAAGTAAGATCTGTATTTCTTCTATTTTCATTGCGTACAAAATTACCTATATTTCAAAGTATATATCTTTTCGTTTCAGGACTAGCAGTTTTCAAAATACAGAAACATCTCACCATTCCCGGATTTGATTTCCGTATATGTACTTACTAGGTATGTTTGCACTCGGAAGATGTATGGAACGAAAAACCCATTGAAATGAATCAATGTTTTTTTATTAGATGATAACATAAATGACATTTTTCTTCAATGAGAACAAAATTGATTTAGGGAGGAATCTAAGAGTATGAATGAAGATTACAAAGTACATGAAAAGAAGACCTATGCAGGCTTAACATTCATTCATAAATAAGTCTTACCCTTCAACAGTAACTATGCTGTGGAATATGAAACCTTAATTTAAAAGGGAATTCGAGACCACAACGAGTTCGTTGAACATATAAAAAAATCATAAATAAGACTTTATTATTTAGAATCCATAATAAAAAATTAAATTAATTTATTTAGTTGTATTTGGGCACCATGTGCAACCACTTTGGTTAGAGGAACCTTATTCAAATTCATATTAATTTCAATTACATATCCAATACAATTATTTCTGTAAAAACATTATGTTGTTTCAGGTGCGATTGTGTTGTTAAGATATGTCTATAAACAATATATTGTTACAAATGCATACGTTGGTTCTAATGTGCATAACAAGTATGTTTATAATGGTTATATCGTTGAAATATACTGTAGTAGTTGTTTTTCAGAAACAATTTTTCAAGTTTTGTGATTGTATTGGTTCGGAAGCGATACGAGGTCGTTGATTGATCCAAGCTAAGGTAATGTATAAGATATGTTCTGTTGTTAAAAGTATGTTTTCAGCTGTGAATTCTTGGTGGAGAATTTCCATAGTCCATAGAGGAGGTGACCATGAGTGAACTTGTTGTGGCCTATTCTGAGGCATGTTGCAATAGTTTATTCCCTGCGATTTCTTTTTAACGGTTGGAACTAGTCCACCGATCATGTATCGTGTACCGTCTATGACGATCATTATTGTATTATTTTATTGTTGCTTGGAGCCTTGGTCCAAGAGTAAAGTCAAGCTTCTTTACATTGGTCCCATTGCTCAGTCTTTCGACTGCTGACATAATCATTGGTCATCTACATGCGCCCTCACACTACTAACGTAGGTCACATATCTTTCCACTCTTTCCCTTAGGTACTCGCCCCGGATGAAGTAGCAGGTCAGGAGGAATAGCAGTCATATCACACTCATAGATTTCGGCTGATAGCCCAGATTTTATAACCACCAAATCATAAATGATCAACAGTGATCGACCCGTAAGAAACATCAACTGGAATTCACAATAGCAATATGAAATGTGTTGTCTTTATACCGTCTCGGAGCACTTCAAGTGCTTCTAAATAACCCTTGAAGTTCTGAAAGAAGCAGCGGCAAGCATGGAGCTCATAATAAACATCAATAGAAAGAAGTACAAGTGTGTAAACCTAAAGTATGATATTCGGAAGGGCTTTATTCAATTCAGTTTAAACAGGATGAAAGTGGTACGAGGATTTGTCTACTTGGGCTCTCAAATGAACTCTCGGAATGACATTGATGAAGAGATAGACAGATGGATTCTGGCTTTGCACTTCAAAAGAAAGTCCAGTCAACTTGTCCAAAACCACAAAAGTCAGGATATACATAACTTTGATTCGACTTCTTTTAACATATGGCTCCAAAACTAGGAAACTTACAAGGAGTTGAACAAAAGGTCCTCAAAAGGGACATTTATGGGTCTGCATATGTTAAGAAAGACATGAAAGGAATTACAAACCTCGAGTTGAGAAGTCTATACAAGGACTGAGACATGGCTAATGAGTTCAAATTCTCTTGATTGGGACAGACGACCCACTTCGATATGATGAATACGGAGGAAATCCCATCTAAATTTCTATCGAAGAAACTATTTAGAGCTCGGAGGGTTGGACGGCCTAGACACCGATGTGAAGACTGTGAACTACCAAGACTATTCTGTGCTAATATATACTTGGCATTAGCAACAGGGTGGTAGCAGCACAAAACAGAGATGCCTAGCAGTCAATGCTGGAGCGAGCAAGGAAACTCTTACGCCTATGCAAAAGGATTGAATGGGATTCGTTGGACCATCTAAGTTCCAACCATCACAATCACATGATACCTAAGTAACGACAGGTGCTATGCAAGTCATATTAAATCGAGATCAGAATACTGCTTAAGTAAAAGTTTTGAATATAACCTAAAATCTAATAGCCCAATAAAACAATAATATAAATTTAATCCAACTTTCAATATGTTCACTGCTTACCATGTTTCACAGACATAATATTCTTAACAGTTATTTATATTAATTTCAATCGTTTGATTGGATTTGATGAAATAAATTTTATACCATTTGTACACTATTCTCTAAATTTTCTCCAATTTTGGGTCAAATGAAACGTGACGTTTTAAAATATATCAAAGAAAACACGTTTGTGCTTCTGCTGATAAATTATTTTTTCAAAAGCAGTGGAAGAAATTTGATAAAATTAATACCTATACTATAATTTGTTTACCAATTTCTAAATTTCCTTCTCCTTCTGGCAGTACTGAACACGTGATTTTGAGATATAGACGAACAAAGAAAAATAGGTTTACGTTTGTACAAGAAGAAGTAATGAATTAGTTTCATTTTTCAACAATTACCAACTTTTGTCCAATTTCGAGACGAATAAATGCTGCTGCTTTTAATATAATCTTGTTCGAGAAATACTAAAAATTATCATGGACCATTGTATTTTAATTTAGAAAATAACTTTTTAATTATAATAAAAAATATTTGCCATTCTCAATCGAAAATGGAAAAAAAAAAAACAGTGAACACTTGTGACCTCGAGCACCATTCCAGTTTAAACATTCATGTCTCTTTACAATATTTGCTAGATATGACTCCTATCAAACAAAGTCTTGTTTGGCTGTTGTATGACGAATATAATGAATGATATACGAATGTATAACGATGTATAACGAATGTATAACGATATAAGAATACAATATAATGAAATTATAAAAAAATAAATGTATTTTAATCTCAATATTGGCATTTCTGCGGTATTAGCTCTGTTCTTATCGTCTGCGTGTTCTACAGTTTAAATAGGATGTTGTAATGGATTATGGTAAATGGAACTGAGCAATTGTGCACATGCCCTAATAAATAAGCATAGCCCATCGTTTTAAAAAAGGTAAATCTATTTTACATGTTAGTGATAAATTAATATTTTTGTGGGAAAGCTCCGCTGTTTTCTCACCTGTCAGAAACAGCTAGAAGCTGTTTAAACGTGTTTTATCACGTGTTTTTATAGTGTGAAAAGAATAAAGGTCAAACTTGAATAATGGGATGAATGTATATTTGTATGTAAAAATAAATAGTTATCCTTGTTGAGGTTTTGTTTGCAGAGATTTCTTCCTTAAGCTCATTACGTGTAACTGCACTAGCATATTCATAATTACCCTAATTTCCATAATGGGATATAACCTACAATCAGTAAGTTAGGAATTTTCAGTAGGATTTAAAGTATTTCTTGTTATGGATATTAAACACTACACTATTAATAAATCTGTAATGCATCTCTTCGATGGTTTTTAGTTAACCTTAATCTGATCTGACCATGATAAGTAAAAAGGAAGAAGGAATAATGGGGTGATTTCATTTCATTCATAATGGGGTGTTCAAGAAATAATAATGGGGTGATTTCATTTATGAGTTATAGAAGTGGTTAATCTGTCATACATTTGCACTATAAGTTAGTATACATGAAATCAATGAAGTCAAATAGCAAGGAAAGAAATCTTTTACAAATGTAAACGAATAAATAAGTTTTGTACTTACCAAAGTATGTAGAAGTGATCTGAGTTATCTGCGTGGTTTTCATCCTAGGAAATTTCGTTGTGGCTAAAAAATAAAACAAAATAGTGAAGAAAAAATCTCTCATTTTTTTTAAACATTATATATTTGATATTTATGCCTTGATGAGTAGTTTTATTATCTATCCCCAGGACCTCAGCAAAAATAAAAATATCGACTAAGTTTCAAATAGGATGGAGTGGAAGATAAGCATTGTCTTATTCTCTAGTTTTGTTGAAACAATATGAAGTACATGGAAGTCACCCAGAACTAAGTATCAATTTAGAAACAGAGTAAAAAAATAAGCCCATTTCTTAAAAAAATAACTCTTTTTATTTGTCAAAACACATAGATATTATTTCCGCCAAGAAAAGTATTCAGATTTGAACATAAATGAACATAAATGTGGAACCAAACTATCATCCCTATTGTTTATAGAGGTTACCATTGCAGAAGAATATGCTGCTCTTAGTTAAAACAACATCTATGGTCTGTAAAGTCCGCTTCTGAATCGAATTATGGTATTGTTAGAAAAACAATATATATATATATATATATTTATTTGAAAAAATAAATGGTGGGGGATAGTAGTACAAAAAAACAAACAAAAAAAAAAACAGGCTGCATCGTGAGCAGCAAATCTCAGTTCACTGTGGTCCCACTTCACTTTTATTTTGTTATTTTAAAAAACATATAATTGAATTAAACTGTTTCAATGGTGTTAAACAGATGAATAAAAGTTTTGCGAAAAATTCAAGCTCAAGCTCTTTTTCAGGGAAGAATCTTACATTCAAAAGTTGATAGAGTTTTAAGTTTAAAGTTGTTTTAACTTTAGAGTTGTCCAATCAAAATATTTTGCAGCTGGTTTAGTACTGCAGTTTACAGCAAAAAGAGTTGTTCCGCCTCAATCATGAAACGAATATCTGACATCGAATCGTAAAAAAAAAAACTGTGGGTGTGTACTTTAGACCACACGATAGAAATTAAAACATCAACAAGGATAGGTTAATAATATGAAATATAAATCATATATAATAGCTCATTATAAAGAGGATGAAATGCTGTTTTCCCTCACTTCTAGTATTCGGGTCTGATTTTTTGTTTCTGAGATATTTTAATCCATATCTTCCATAAAACTCGTTATCATTTGCTCTTTGACTATATTTTTTCCTTTCTGCCTCTTTAACACGGTGACTCGTTAAGATAAATTTTGAATGATTGTCCATTTCAAATAGGATGAAATAATGAACATTTTCCTCGCTAACAACATGCATCTCCGTCTTTACCCGAGACTTTTCACATCGGAGATCTATCTGACGGTTCAACGGTTGGCCCTGAGAATTGTCAAAGCAAGTCCTATTTCGCTAAACCATCTCTTCTCTCATTACGTAAGATGTCAACCAAATACAAAACACATGGGGCTAACAATAAGATATAAACGTTTCTTTTTTTGGGAGGCCTTATACTTCATAATTCATCTTTGGGCGGTGAAACACATTTGTATTCAGAAAAATATTATTTTAATATAACATTATTCCTTAGCAAACTTTGATGAATAGGAAAAATCAACGGCAACTAAAGAAAGTTGTAGTCAGAAATACCGGTTTATAGAACTATTGTGCTCGGCTGTTATATGACGAAGTTATGACATCAATGAAAATGTCAAAGTGAGTTTATCCCATGGGAGGTTCCCCTCTTCCACGAAAGAAATCCTGAAAAGCCTCTTTCACGGTCCTTTGGACTTTTTCTCCTCTTGTCTTTTCCTTTATGCATCACAGAAAGTGAAACACAAATTAGGCCGAACTAACTTTTCTTCAAAATCAGATAAATCATAAATCATTCTATGAAAAATCTAGAATAATTTTGACATATCTTTTATCGCAAAAAAAAAAACAAAAAAAAACAAAACAAACAAGAAACGTTATATTATCGGTTGTATAATGTACATACAAAACTTTTAACATTCGAAGAAGATATCTAGCGATAATTTCAAGAGATAAAGACCCGATACGGTTTTATAAGCAGAACAATACTACTTCCCAAACATACATCTGTATTTTTTATAAAACTTAAATACATTTTAAGCATATTTAAATATATTTTATTTTTATTAAATATATGAGGTCTAACCTTTGTTTTAATGAACGAAGTATACCACAAACTTAGACGTATACAGACTCGTGACTATATACAAGCTACAGATACAATTTCTCTTATTAATTATAAGTCGTATAAAATTAAATATCATAAAAATTAAATATATAAAATATTATATTAATTTATATAGTATATATTAACACTAATATATCTTATCTAGAGTTAATATATATTAACTCTAGATAAGATATTATATTTAAATAATCAGGTATCTATCGGCAATTTATTCCAAAACATCATCACGTAAGCTTTTAGAAAATTAAATTAGTGAATAATTTGATGAATTTTCCCTTTGTGGAATCCCTACATTATCCACTTACAATCAGTGTGACAACATTTGACCTACCCACGGCAAAGCAATGAAAATCTCGTAATTTTGTTTTAGTACACTTTACAATGGAAAATAACAGGTTAATAACTAATAGTCCTACGATCCATAATCATTTATAGGTTAAATATTCAGATATACTTTCAAACCTCTGTAGGCATATATGAGCCTTACGGTTGACAGAATGACTAACTCCAATTTCAACATTCTTTATTCAACAAAATTAATACCTTAATTCACAGTTCTATATTTCAACAATGCAATCACTCACTCCGGAATCAATTTACTCACTGTCTGTATTGTTAATTAGAGTTAGTCATTCTGTCAACTGAAAGGCTCAGAGACTGAAGTTATGTGGTTTATAAAAGTAGATGGAGTGACTAGATTTTTATTGCCTGTTGTCGATATATTAAATATACATTTTGTAATTATAATGGACTTAACGATTTGTTATCTGTAAGCTTTAAGCTTTAGCTCCGTTTAAAGTGCACTTCAAAAATTTTATAATAGCTCAGAATTACCAGAAAATAATTTCTATTCCAAGTAGAGCGGTAAGTGAAAGTTGTGTGCTGCTCGCACCAGTTTTTTAATACTTGTATTCATTTTAAGCTAAGAAAACAGACATCGAATATATGCTTTTTTATTTCCGATTTATTTTTAACCCTTTAACCAAATTATCATCTTGGATCATTGTTTTTCAATTGGCTTTATGAAAAACCATTGTATTTTTACCTGTTCGTATTAAAAATGTATTTTTGAAATACTGAGTTAAATTTTGAAACATATTTTGATGTGTTGCTGTTTTCCCGAGCGTCATAAGATTCGGTGTTGGAAAATAAATTGCAGAGTTCTCACATTTTCAAAAGCATTTTATAATGCATCTATTATAGTACTACGACCAGTCCCTGGACGAAGGAGATGTAAAAATTAACCCGCGACGGAAAGCCAGCAGAAATTTCTTTTGTTTGTAGAAACGGATATTAAAATGTAAACCGGAAGCGGAGGGGGTAGGCTGGAATAAAGGGTGGAAGCGGCCCCATAAATATGGTTCCTCAAATGGAATGGGGCATAACAGAGAGAGCCATAAACAGAAAGGCACTGGCAAAGATTCAACCAATATCCTCTCACGATCCACCCCCTGGGGAGCTGGCAATAAAAATGATAACTCTTTTATCTCTTCTACCGAAAATGAAAAGCCCTTACATATCTACCCAGTACACCCTCTGCATCCAATATGATCTCTTAACACCCTTTTATGAGAATTTGGATTTTATTACTATTGAGTGACATGAACTATTGAGTATGATGATTTCCTTCTTCAGTTTCGATTCTCAGGGACATAATCATCTCCCTAATAGGAATAAACACTTATATTCTTCTTCTCATTGTTCTACCTTCCTTCAAATTGTCAGTTCGGGAATCAACATTATGAATTCGACGGTCTTCATAAGTTCCTGCAGATCACCATAGAGCTTCGAAGCCAAGTCAATGTGGTTTGTTCATATTTGTTTCCTGATGTCCTCCAGCTCAGAGCATGTCTGTTGATATGGTTTTTGTCCATTGTTCTACAAATACAAACAGGGCTTTCTCTAATTTTAAATTTATCATTAAGGTATACTCTCATCCTGTTATTATATACACTTACATTGAAAAAGCGAAGGATATTAAAATTAGGAGAATCCTAATCCTTTCATATAAAAAGAAGGAGGCGTTCTAAGAAAATAGCCCACATAGATTTCTTTTTAAAGGTTTAATTTGATATATGAAATATACAACGGACATATGACGAAGAATAGGATTAGTATAAAACTGCAAATATATAACATGGAATGGTATTTAATTATTGATTTATAACAATGCGGGCATATCAACTCTTTAAGGCCTTAAACAATATTTATATTTTAGTTCTTACACAATATTTGAAATTACAAATAATTAAATTATATAAATTTTTCAATAAGAAATTAACAATAAATTTAAAGGTACAAAACATTAAAAGTTACAAAACAACTCAACAAATAAATATCTCTTTAATATAATTAAGAATCAATCGATTTAATAATTAAGAAATATAAACAATTTGTTTGAAATTATCATGTTATTTTTCAAAATTATACTATCTTTTACCTACAGTTACTATACGCAACACCGTTGAATGTGTCCCCTTTGCATAAGTTACTCGTGTGTTATTCTTGAGGTTACGATTCTTAGTCGCGTATTACTTCATATATTCTTCTCAACTGGAGGTCGACTAGATTTAGCTCTTCAGAGGGTTCTAATAATAATAATAATAAGGCTTAGCGAACCCGAAGGTTCGATGCCGACACCATCAATCGCTTGTTACACACCTCCCTCCACCATTCGCCGTCCAAACCCAGTCCCTTCAGATCGGCTTTAATGCAATCTTCCCACCTTCGCTTCGGTCTACCCCTCGGACGCTTACCATTCGGCACAGCAAATATTAACCTTTTAGGAATTCTCTCGTTACTAAGCCCAACAACTTTACAAGCCCATTTGATTCGCCGCGATGAAATTACATTAATTATATTACCCGGATACAGCT